CAAAGTTCCAAGTTGGATACACAGTTGACTCCACTCATAACAAACTCGTATTGTTACAATAGTGAATTTCGTTCTAGCGACCATTGTCCATTTCCGGCCCTATTTGAACCGATTAAAAAATGACCCTTGGTAGCGAACTGTTTTTGTTTATAACGAACCATAATAATATCTTGTAGGGCGGCATGATAACCAATTGCACTCATGCAGTCATGGACCACATGCCAGTCATGACGTGTTCTTTTTATGGTGTGAGAGCATTTCTGTTGTAACAAACTTCGGATGCAAAGAACTAATTCTCCTGGAAAATGGTGGTCGCTACATTAGGAGTCGACTGCATAACATGCTCCATTCTGGTGGAGTTGTTTAACCTGCTTCACTTCAGGAAAAAAGCACTCAGGCCAAAGATAGACTCGGAAGGAGAGCCAATGATTAATAATTTATAGTAAAGAAAAGCACCAAAGAAACTACATAATTATAAGGTCAGCTTTGTGCAATGTTATCGCATGAGCTGATTGTCAAGTAACTGGGGTGTTAGTGAACATTATAGCATAACGTTTCTCGCTCCACATATACTGGCACACACAGAGACATAGACAGCAATAACGACACTACACAAAGTGAAGGGTAGTTGGCAGAAGCCAGATGTGAACCGGATAATGAGTGAGGTATGGAAGCAAGGACTGAGAACAGAGTGTCTCAGATAGAATAGGCGTGCCAGTGGATAGCAAAAATAGGCCATGATTCAGAACCACTTGGGACCGTCAGATTAATTTTTCTGAACCGAGCCAGCCGGGAAAAAACCCTCGCGCCGACGTACACAGTTGTGAGGGATAAAAACCGGGTGTATATCCCCAATGGCGATTAGGCATCATGTAGGCATGGTAAGCACATCACGGCAAATAGTGATAAAATAGCAATGATAATAAGCACATAAATGAAGTGCAGGAGGGCAGGGACACTGGTAAGACTCAAAACTGACAGAAGAAGTCAGGAAAAGAAGCGACAATAAAGAACACACCAGATGCCATATTTGCAACAAAAAATATTTCGCGAGAAATCAGTTCTCGCCTATCTCGCTGCGCTCGGCCGGCGAGAAATACAACGTACTTCCTTGGTCCCTTTCTTTACTATAAATTAACTTAGCTCAAAGATGGCATCTCATCATACCAACTGACCTGGCTCCTTCAATAATGATACGACGATCATGAGTTGACTGCTTCAAAATCAACTTCAAGGTGAACATAAAAAAAACATCTCCATCATTTTGCGAGAACTGTGGCAATACGCCCAGTGAGAAGGCATTTCTCCTGTGCCTATGGTGAAAGAAAAGGAAGCTAAACAAACAAACAAATACTAGTAGCATGAGCTCCAGTGTGGGGAGCAAACCCTTTTCAAACAAACATCACCATTGTAATAATTACTACTGCAGTTCATCCGGCAGTACTACTTGCAGTTTGACCAGAGATGCCGTACCGGAGCTCAGCTGTGTGGCCAGCTCGGCATTTTCACACACGTATTCTCGGACACACGGCCAATGGTCTTCATTTCCCACTGTGACAGCATCCGACTCATTCTTCGTAAACCCTTGACCAGTGAAGAGCTCCAAGAGGCGTAATTCACAGTAGAGAAAAAGACGCGTTTGCCAGGCCGAGCGAGGAGCTGCAAGTGCCATGAACCTGCTATAGTCTATTAACTGGCTGGGCGATCGTTTTATTGAGAGAAAATTCACGCCGTGCGCCTTCTCGTAATCGGCAACTGAGCGCGCACGTAACTCGCTCAGATGCCGCATCACGTCAGGCACGGCACCGGGGTAGAACTGGCGGCAAAGCTCCACTATACCGCTCCACGTTGCTGGCACGCACTTCGGCAAGTGAGCGTTTGCGGGTTTGTCATGGGGCACGTCTTGTTGATGAGCCTGGGCAAGAGCAGCATCATGACTGTCATTACATTTGACAATCTTGGCCTCGAAGAGCAGCAGCCATGCATCATTCTTGTCCACCTCGCACTGCACAGGGACAAGCAAAACATCCGGAAGCAAAGCACACGCGTCAAGTTTTCAGGCACGGCAAATCGTCATCATTCTGTATCCAGAACAATCGGGTGATGTAGACTTAGCACCGTCACACAGCTGTGAGTAAATATGCATAATGTAAAGACGTTCGGTTGGGCCTGTGTTACGAACCGTATTCCGGAGTATACACCGTTCCCAGATTTTTGCTACAAATCACAGACATCCACCTTGTTCATCACCACACAAAACACAGACATTCACCCTGTTCATGACCACACAAATCACAGACATCCACCGTGTTCAACACCAGGAATGCTGATGGCTGGGTACACGTCACTGGCCACAGAAAGGTGGATTCTTGTCATATGTCACTGGAACTGTAGAGATTATGGCGAATATCTATCACTTGTCCTAGTTGACGTTCACCGTATTTTCCCGAATATAAGTCGACCTTTTGTGCGCCAGAAATTTCGCCAAAAGCTGGTAGTCGACTTACAAACGGAACTTGACTTACATACGGGAATCTGGCACAACAAATGAAGTGACTGGAGTGTCCGTACAAAAATGCACTACCGTATGAACCATGTGAACTCTCGTCCCGCGAGTGACACTGGTTTTGTTCAGATTTTGTCTTACTGGCATGATATGATCTCTCCTCGCAGAGAACTCATCATTTTGTATGTGTGGGTGTCATGGAGCTATAAAAACTTTTTTTCAAGAAATTGACTCCTGGATTTGGAGTGGTCGACTTATAATCGAAGTCGACTTATATTCGGGAAAATACGGTATACGCTTTTACACGTGCTTGCAGATCAGTATAGCTAAACATACTCTATGCTAACACCACACAGTACAGTGGTGTACAACTGCACATACTACACACATTACAGGAGCATGGTAGATCACATACTACACACATTACAGGAGAATGGTAGATCACATACTACACACATTACAGGAGCATGATAGATCACATACTACACACATTACAGGAGCATGGTAGATCACATACTACACACAGTACAGGAGCATGGGAGATCACATACTACACACATTACAGGAGCATGGTAGATCACATACTACACACATTACAGGAGCATGGTAGATCACATACTACACACATTACAGGAGCATGGTAGATCACATACTACACACCGTCATTACAGGAGTATGGTAGATCACATACTACACACAGTACAGGAGCATGGGAGATCACAAAGTACACACATTACAGGAGCATGGTAGATCACATACTACACACATTACAGGAGCATGGTAGATCACATACTACACACATTACAGGAGCATGGTAGATCACATACTACACACATTACAGGAGCATGGTAGATCACATACTACACACATTACAGGAGCATGGTAGATCACATACTACACACATTACAGGAGCATGGTAGATAACATACTACACACATTACAGGAGCATGGTAGATCACATCCCATACAAATTACACGATCCTGGACCTCGCTTATCCGGTCCTCTTTTATCCGGATCCCTCGCCATCCGGAAGAAAATCGTTGGTTACCGATTTACAGCATATGTCATGCATACATACAGTATGTGTGGTCGATTATCCGGTTCCCTCACCTACCCGGATAATTTCGTG